GGTTACGCGCCTGTATATTCTATAATCTTGTGATATATGTTCAAAATCTTGTGATTTATATTCAATATCTTGTGATGTATTTTCTAAATCTTGTGATGTATGTTCAAAATCTTGTGATGTATATTCGAAATCTTGTGATGTATATTCTATAATCTTGTGATGTATGTTCAATATCTTGTGATGTATATTCGAAATCTTGTGATGTATATTCTATAATCTTGTGATGTATGTTCGAAATCTTGTGATGTATATTCTATAATCTTGTGATGTATATTCGAAATCTTGTGATGTATATTCTATAATCTTGTGATGTATGTTCGAAATCTTGTGATGTATATTCGAAATCTTGTGATGTATGTTCGATAATCTTGTGATGAATATTCGAAATCTTGTGATGTATGTTCGATAATCTTGTGATGTATATTCGAAATCTTGTGATGTGTGTTCTACAATTCAGTGATGCGTGCAATAAAATTGCATGACGCAACAGAAAAGTAAGGACAATTTTCATTGGTTAGAAATAACGAAAGTAGCCGGAGCGGTCGTAATGCACACATTGACACAACTTCGCAAGCATGAAATTGGCGAATTCAACCTAAAGTCAAAACTAGTGCTAATTGTAACGGGGACCGTTACAGATGTTCCCCAAACGCTCCCAAACTCCCTTTTGGTGCCATATTCCCTGTAATCTCTGTTAAATAAGAAATACTTTATGGAATTTAGACTTAATCAAGGTCTTCTTCGAAAAATACCAAATATATTTAAAGATAGGAATTGCACGCATGTTCATGTGCGTAACGACCATATTATCTTGTCTACACTATCTAAAATTCTAATATACTTAATATAAAAGCATTTAATCAAAAAGTATTAAAAAATACACTCATTCCAGTGTATTTTTAATTTTACTTTATGCACGTGCACGCACGTCATAATGACAACACCTTCTTGTAGGAGTCCCTCATATTTATCTATTTTCTAAATCCCATCCTGTTTGGTTGAAAAACAAGGGAGTTATAGCCATTTGAAGTTTCAGCCAATCAGATTGCAGCACACATGCATGCGCGTGATTTCATAAAATTTTATCTTTATCGTGTTAATGGATATCTAAATGAATGACTATATTTTAAAATTCCAAACATTTCGTCAAAAAACAAAGGAGATATAGCCATATAAAGTTTCAGCCAATCAGATTGCAGCACACGTGCATGCGCGTGATTTCATGAATTTTTTTCTATATCAAATTTTAGGATATCCTAATGCATGACTATGTTTTAAATTTCAAAGCATTTCGTCAAAAAACAAAGGAGATATAGCCATTTAAAGTTTCAGCCAATCAGATTGCAGCACACGTGCATGCGCATACTTTCATGAAAATTTTTATATATCATGCTGTAGATCTTCATAATGTAGGACTATGTTCAAAATTTCTAAACATTATGACTAGAAACAAGAAAGATATTGAGAATTTAGTTTCAGCCAATCAGAGCGAAGCGCACGTGCATGCACGTGAGATCTTGCTATTTTGACCATGCCATCTTGTCTATACTACTTATATATCCTTACATTATGAGTTTCAAAAAAAAGAAAAGTTACAGCAATATCCTTATATTGGTCATTTCACGTGTTGCACGTGCGCGCTCTTGCAAGCACGTGCGCGCAAAATGACCTTGATTCCGCAAATCTACATATCATGTCTACTGACCCTAAAAAGGTTTTACCTACATTGGACGAACAGTTTACAAGATCATTCCCGGACAAAAAAGTACCCAGGAAGAAGAAGAAGAAGAAGAAGAAGAAGAAAAATAATAATAATAAGAAACAGAGTAAAAACAATATGTTCCCCAACTTCGTTTGGGGAACATAATTATAGGTAATAGAAAAATTGTTTTGGTATCAAGAAGCACTAAGTCAGTCATAACGTGAAAAGTGGGAATCAAGAACATTAATTTGATTTGTTTGAAGGTACATCAAAAACAATTTAGTGGCTTATTGCTGGACTAAAGGATGTTTTATCCTATTTTTACGTCCTCGTATTGTAGTGATGTTGATTAATCGGTATGATTTATTCTATATTGGTGCTAGTTAGAATAATCTAACTGTGTCTCGGGACAAACTCTCACCACGCAGGGTTCGAAATTGCATGGCCCATTGCAGCTGCATTGACCGTAGCACTAGTCCAGGGACGACTTTGCAATAAATAAATAAATAACACGACAAATTTTTAGGAGAAGGTGAATGTCAGGAAAAGATTAATTGCTATGCATCATTGAATATTGTCATTCACAAATTTGTCCAATTATTTTTATAGTAAATGTATTGAGCCGGGCTCATTTACAGGATAATGAACAAGGACTAAGATGACAGTTTAAAATCACGTTCAGACGTTTAGAGAATATGTAATACACACAAAAATATCTCAATGGCATGTATAATATTAAATAGTTTTAAAAATAAAATAAAATATAGCTAGAAATTAACAGCGAAAAATATTTATCACGTATCGTTTCGGGGTAATCCGGTTTTATATACAAACAGAAGTAAATAAACACCGATGCAGCAAGATTAAGGTCAAACGTCTCTGCACTGATGTGTCCTCAGCGGGGAGATTTGCATCAAGTCATTAATGATGTTCCCTGCATTTGTGTTAGCCTGATAGTACAACCTTTATTTATAGAATCAATCTAATTCAAATTAGATGTTAGATCCGCTTGCATACTCGCTACACTAACATCTAACAACATCCCGTTGAGGGTCACGTCAGAGGTCAAATTCTATCAATTAATCAAATCGCAGCTGGCAAAATCATCATATATTGTTGAAGCGAATAAATCTTGAGGTGTTCCAAATTTAACCTCTTACGTGACCCTCAATGGGATGACTTGTTAGATGTTAGTGTGGCGAGAATGCGAGCGGATCTAACATCTAATTTTAATTATATTGTTTATAGAATATGATGCAGACAGGGATACCTGGTGAAAACCTTTCGCACCCGTTGAATTACTTTGTAAAATATTAGTCAAAGGAGCCAGGAAAAAATATTAAACAATTTAATATTATGATAAAAATATTCAATTTACTATTTCTTAAGGTGTTGAATGGATTTTGTTTTCTCAACAGCGGCTGGTGCACGTACCATACTTTTACTCGTAAACTCAATTTGGCGGTGAAGAAGCAGCATTTTCTGTTGCTCACCGTCGCAATAGCTGAGCATTGCTCTACGAGCAATGTGCCCGGCTAAAAATCATAATATTTGTAATGATATATCATATTCTAGACTTGACATACAATAAACAATGATAAGAATTATTGTCGCATATCTGCAGTGATTTTCTTTGATCTTTCTGTGGTGATAATTTATCCCATATCACATGTGTGATAATACTTTCCAAACATGTTTCAAAGTTTTTACACTCTTTATCATACAGTTTTAAAGAACAGTTTTATGAGCTCATAAGTATATTAAATGGTTAATTTATCAAAACCTGCATTTAAAAATTCAGAAGTCTTAAGTTAAACCAAATTGTCCAGGGTATTCTTAGTAAGGTATGTCAAAGGTCATGGTTAAGTGACTTTGTAAGGCTGGTATTTTTTCTTTAGTTTTATGGCAATCAATGCACAACCTGTACGAAATGTTCCGCCTGGAATATAGGGGGAATTGAGGCGTACTTGGAGAGGCGTCAATTTGTCTCTCTACATATATGGTGATACACAGGTTCCGGGCGTAACTTAGGCGGAAACCAAGCGTAAATGGGCAGGAATTTGAGGCGAAAAATGCAAATGAACTACACCCGTAAAAATAAATGACGCCCGTAAAAAAAATTACGCCTGGAAACTAAAATGACGCCTGGAATAGAATTACGCCTGGAATGTCCTTATTATTATATAATACTATGTGACCTAAAAACCTATATATTTACCATGTTAACAAAGAAAAACATTCAGATTATGATTTACAATGTTAAAGCTAAAAATTTTGCTTTTTGAACTGTAAGAAAACATAATGACAGGTCATTAACATATATCATTAACAAGTATAGAAAAATAACATGAATTTTGTGTATTAGGGACACTAAAACATGACCACCATGATTGAGTGCGTATTTAGAAATAAACTTTTTTACAATACCTGTACATTTTATCACTTCAATAATTATACTGAAACATTTTAGTTACTGACTGAATACAATTCTTCATTTACTCAGCAGTTTACAGTTAGATTCTCACTGCAGCCTCTGTCAGACTGATATTTCTCAGAATGTGTGCAAGGACAAACTCAAATATCTAAAGTAATTTTAGGGTCATGCAACCAGTTATAACTATCATTGTACATAATCATAATCAAATTTACTCAAATAGGTACTAGATATTCATGATCACACCTACCAGTAGACACTGTGTCATCCTCAAGAAGTGTAAAAGCCTTAACATTGAGATATCTGCATTTCCTGTTTCACTCACACTAAACTCCCTCCTTCATGATCAAATTCAAACTTAACCTCCTATCTGAAATGACCCTTAATTGATAATTAAATCGACCAATCAGAGGCTTTTACTTCTCCTGAAAGTTCCAGGCGTAATTTTTGTTTCTATTTTCCTGCCATTTTACGCCCGGAAAATCTGAACTTGCCAATTGACGCCCGGAAATTACAAATGACGCCTGTAAGACGTCTCTTCTACTGAGGCGTAACTCTTTGAAAATTCCGTCTCCGCCTCAAGTACGCCCGGAATTTGCCAATTCCTGCTCAATTCCACCCAAATTCCAGGCGGAATCCACCTTTAAAATTCATACAGGATGGTAAATAGCATAAAATTACCCTTAAAGGTCTTATGCAAGGAGATAGCTAATTAAAATGAACAAATGTAGTTCTATGTATGATGTATATAGAGACAATAATATTTCTTTTCTTTTTTCATTTTCAGGAACTTTACGTAGGTCTACAGTTTTAATTTTGGACTCATGCACTAGGAATCATATCAGCAGAATTGTCCAACTGAATCAAAGGGAACTCTTTTTTTTTAGGTACGCATGATCGATGTAACTTCCTCGATGGTGTGTTGGCTGTTTGCCCATGTGTATTTCGGGGTATAGGTATGTTTAGTCTCAATTTTCTTTCTTAAAAGCCGCATAAGGGGTATATTTTTTCTGATCTCAAATTTTGTCTAAGCATTAATCTTTTTTCTCATTCATGAATTATCTGCTGAGAGTCTAGTTAATTAATTTATTTAATTAAAGCTATATAGTAACATATAGTGAAATTATTTCCTTGTGTGAGACCTAAAGAAAATCAGGTTACTCATTTTTATGACAATTTCTTTGATTTCAGGAGTAGCCTCTCCTTTTAAAGATCCAAAATGGTGATTTTACAGTGCGGCATGCAGTCTGGTCATCAACGAAGAGTTTTGACACCTGTAATACCCATATTTCTACCATTCACCTCTGTAACCTTTGTTGAGTTCATCAGACTGGTAAGAAAAACAATATTGTTAATTGAAATAATTTTATCAAGATAAATAAAATAATTAATGAAAAAAAATTACATGAACAGACTCCCTCATATAAGAAAATGTCACATTTTACACATTGCAATTATACATCATTTACATATCCACATTTTCCCCATTTACACATGCAGTTGAATAGATTTAGTGCTTAATAATACATAGCAACAATTATTACATGAATCCTAAGACAATTCACAAAATACATGAATGCATTAAACTGTGAAATACAGATTTCGTACATTTAATTAAAATGCACAGCATCAGAACCCCCCCCCTTCACAATCTTGCAACTTTCTTTTTAATTCAAAGTCACTAGGCAACACTAAAGATTTCCACGTATTGCTTTTCAGTCCAAGACAGGAAGTTGAGGAATAAAGTTGACAGGACATCCTGAACTGTCCTCGCTACCAGCTTATCAGGGAACCAGCTGCAGTGGACAAAGTACGTTACATCATAGGATAATAGGTAAGTCTCCGGAGTAGTGTTTGTAGCAATTCTCGTACTTGGTCCTGCATCGAAGATTCAGGACTATTGATATTTATCTCTGCATGGTTTGGTTCTTCCCAGAAACATGTTACTGGTGGTGGTCCCTATATTCTTCTGGCTTTTGTGGTGAGGAATGTTTCATTTCTAGCTCTTTTCTGATCACATTTTGTCTATCTAGCTGTTTGTCTGTCTGTCTGTCCATCTGTCTGTCTGTAAACTTTTCATATTTTCGACTTCTTCTCTAGAACCCATGGACTAATTTCACCCAAACTTGCCACAAAGCATCCTTGGGTGAAGGGGATTCAAGTTTGTTTAAATAAAGGGCCACACCCTCATTCAAGGGGAGATAATTGGGAATTAATGAAAATTTGATGGTATGTTTTAAAAATCTTGTTCTCAAGAACCACTGTGCCAGGAAAAATGAAACTTATGGAGAAACATCCTCAGGTAGTGTAGATTTAAATTTGTTCAAATCATGACCCCCGGGGGTACGGCGGAGCCACAATGGCTGACCAAAGTGTAACATAAAAATATATAGGAAAATTCTTTAAAAATCTTCTCAAGAATGACAAAGCCATAATTGATCCCATATATATGGAAGCATCCTCAGGTAGTGTCGATTCAAGTTTGTTCAAATCATAACCCCCGGGGTAGGGCGGGGCCACAATGGAAGATCAAAGTTTTACATAGAAATATAAAGGAAAAATCTTTAAAAATCTTCTTCTCAAGAACAGCAAAACCCTGATTGATCATATTTATATGGAAGCATCCTTAGGTAGTGTAGATTCAAGTTTGTTCAAATCATGTCCCCCGGGGGTAGGACGGGGCCACAAAGGATGATCAAATTTTATATAGAAATATATAGGAAAATTCTTTAAAAATAACCTTCTCAAGAAAAGCAAAGCCATGATTGGTCAAGGGACTACTTTTGGATTTAAACTTTTCAATAAAAAACCAATTTTTACTTTTTCCTAGCCACAGTGCTCAGGTGAGCGATGTGGCCCATGGGCCTCTTGTTTTTTTTTTTAAAAAATGATCAATCATTAAATACATGTATAAATAAATCAGTTGTTAAAAAATTTGACTCATATTTGAAGTGCTTTAAACCGACCCTTTGATGAAAGTGACCAGTGTTTTTTGCACCTTGGAAGGTATATTGGTAAAATATAAGAAGGAAGTTATGATTTTGGTGTTACTATTGTTGTTATTTAAGTTTGATTTGATTTTTATATTACAAGTATTATGAAACTGTTATTTTGTTACTGACCGATGGTTAATTTTAATAATGCCCAATTTTTGAACATACTATGTAATAAATATTAATAACAACCTTTGAATAATTGGAAAGACAATATTATAAATATGATAGCATTTTTGTACATGAGCATACATTTTTGAAAGGAAAAATAAATTATTCAATTGCATTAAAAAAAATATTTTGTTTCATATTCTTGCGAATTATCAGATCATTCTTCTATTATTTAAATACTCTGTCATTATGAAACCTTGTTAATAAGTAAGTAAATATTAATTGTACATTTGCACCAATTTGCACCAATTTTTACATGGCATTTTCACACTAAGAATGCCACGTGCAAAATTATATACAGGAACAATTCTGAACAAATATATGCAAGTGAGTTGTAAATTTGATATGTAATGCATACATTACAAAAACCCATGACAGTGTTTACTAAAATGAAATGTATGGACTCTTATATAAATACTTGGTATATGTGATATGGATATTATGGATGATATTTTTGAGAATGACACAATTAATGAAATTTTTCAGCATTGAATTGGATTCTTGAACCAGAGCCATGTGAACCTGGTCCACCTGTACCTCTCATTGAAGACCTGTTAACATCACCAGAGTGTGTTCATTCTGATACCCCTATGGTATGGTTACAGCATGCATTATCCCTGAATCCATTAAAAGAGCTGCATTGACAACGAAACAACCCAATGTGGTCGATTGTAAGGAAATATAGCATATCAGCTTCCAACTTTGGTGCAGTTCTCAGTTCTAAGCAAAGGCGGTAAGACGTGTGATTAAATTTTTGCGAAAAAGACTTTTAAAATTACAGTCAAACTTTGTTATCTCAAACCCATTATCTCATATTTCATGGATATGTCAAAGTAATTTTGAAGTGCAAACCATTTATAAAAGACTGGGACATTTTATTCTTGATAACTCTTTATGTATTATTCTTGAATCCACGGATATTTCCAACATTTTTCTTGGTCTCATTGAGTTTGAGATAATGAGGTTCGACTGTAATGACTAGATATTTGTACATAAAGATGCAGGAAATATAAGATTAATAACCAAAAATCATATTTTCTTCTCCAGATTGACATTGTCACTGAAGAAACAGCTGATGTCGGCTTACAATCTGGAGTCCATCAAGGCTGTTGCATGGGGTATCACTCATGAAGATGATGCTTTGAGAAGGTATGAAAAAGGACTTTGATGCAGCTGTAGAGCAGTCAGGTATACAGCACAAAATAACATTCATTCAACCTCTTACATGTTAACATTCAATGTGTCAAAACAAATAACAGGACTTATCCTGGTGACAAACAGAAATCAATTACTGAAGTCTAATTGTAAAAAAAAAACTAGAAAAATATGTCCATAGGACATGAATGGCCCGCCGAGGATATATTAGTAAAGCAACATGAAATTTGTATATGTATAAAATTTGATCAGTTTGGTTCAGGCAGGGCTTATAGTTAGTTGGGAATAAAAATGTAGGTCCAGCATCCAAAGCAAGTCTGGTAGTGTCCATCCCTAGATGCATCATCCATGCAAGTTTGGTTCAGGTAGGGTTTATAGTTACTTGGGAATGAAAAAATAGGTCAGATCCAGCATCAGAAGCAAGTCTGGTAGTGTCCATCCCTAGCTGCATCATCCATGCAAGTTTGGTTTAGGTAGGGCTTATAGTTACTTGGGAATGAAAATGTAAGTCAGATCCAGCATCCGAAGCAAGTCTGGTAGTGTCCATCCCTAGATGCATCATCCATGCAAGTTTGGTCAAGTAGGGCTAATAGTTCCTTAGGAATAAATCTGCTCCAAAAACTTCAACCTGGTCACTCATCTGGAAAATGTAGGTCAGATCCAGCATCCGAAGCAAGTCTGGTAGTGTCCATCCTTAGATGCATCATCCAAGCAAGTTTGGTCTAAGTAGGGCTTATAGTTCCTTAAGAATGGACCTGCTCCAAAAACTTGAATTTGGTCACTCACCTGGAAAATGTAGGTCAGATCCAGCATCCGAAGCAAGTCCGGTAGTGTTCATCTCTAGATGCATCATCTATGCAAGTTTGTATCAACATGTAAAGTTTGATAACACCATCTTGAATGGTATGTTTAAAACTGAGCTAAACACTATTTAAGAAAAGTCAGGTCAAGGTCAAAGGAAAGGTCAAGGTCAAAAAATGTTGATGCAGTTGCATAGCTCTCATCAATATCTATCAGCATATGAAGTTTGATGAAAATATCTTGGATAGTTTCTTTGAAACTTAGCTTTGAACAGAGCTAAACACAAAGAAGGACGGAAGACGGACATGACAAACACCATATGCCCCGGCCATATTCATGGCGGGGCATAAATATTCAGTTACCAACATATTCCAGAAAATTTGCTTTTTGAAGTGGAAGGATTATAAAAGCTCTACTTAGACTTTGTTTGCATTACAAAATCAATTGTATTATGGTTTGTTTGCATTCAGTAGTATTATAATTTTTTCTGAAAAGGATATGGTTGCATGAATCTGGAGTGTTGGGAGCTTCACCTGATGGCTTAGTTGTTCGACCACCAACATGCAGTGTATTTTATCAAACTCCAGAAGCCAAAGACGCCATTCCTGATATTGTAGAGGTGAAGTGTCCACACACAGCATCGTCTTCAACAGTAGCAGATGGGGCACAAAATTTGAAGGATTTTTCATAGGTAAATAACATTAAAAATCTGTATTGTCCAGTACTTTGAAATTAAAAATCTTGGTGAGTAAATGATTTCAAAACATATATTTATTTACAAGTGCATCTGTTCAATATGGTATGAAGATATTGAAAAAGGAGGGGAAATGTACTGGTATAACACAACTTAAGTGTTTTTTGATTTTTTTTTAGATCTTAAACAAGATACCCTGTGCCTGAAAACCAGTCACCCATACTATCATCAAATTCAAGGCCAGCTACACATACGTAACAAAACATTCTGCGACTTAATTATGTGGACAAGAGTAGACTGCATTGTGATTAGAATAGTAAAAGACATTGAATGGACAGCAAATGTTCCAAAGCTGATAGATTTCTACATTAACATTTTCATTCCAGCACTGATGGAAAACTGAGTTCTAGTTTGAACTTCTTGACACTTAGTTTTGTACCTCTAGAATTTTCTAACAATGGAAAAAGGGTAATCATGTTAAATGTGTTGAATGTTCCTAAGTCTCATAAATGTATGATATGATATGTCATAATCCATCATAAAACTTCTGGCTTATAAGACTATTTTAAATAGCAATGATGATTAATAAAATCTATGTACTACATAAAAAAAGAATATCAAAATTTAGAATCATTTTATTAATGAATTGAAAATGTTATTCTCAAAGTGAAAATGTAACATTTTTGTCTTTCTTAATAGATAAATTGTTGAAAACATGAATTTGTTGAGTTGTGCTTTAAAGGTAAATATACTTTAAACTAGAGATTATAAGTAAACCCTCTTCCAAATTATATTGTCAAATGAAGAATGGAATTGCCAAACATTCTTGTATTAAATCCATGCTAACAAAAGGGATTTTCATTTTCTGAAGTACATGTATTACAACATACTACAAAGTTAACAAATATAACCATTGACATTGATAACAAATCAAAATTTGCTTATCCCTTGCACTTTGGTATGAATATCTTCACTGTTTAGTGTATACTGTCACACGCCAATGCAAATTTATAATAAGTACATGTATCTTTAAGTAATTTCTTTCAAAAGTGGAGCTTGCAAGTTTACAAGACAAGAACAGAGTTGTAATATTTTTGTTGAGATTGGTCTGTAAGTAGATGGTATGTGACGGAGAATCTCGTAATTCTTTATCCTCTCGTTGGCTCTTTCCACATGAATAAGTGCTTTAGCAATCTTGTAACACAGTGCTGCTTCTTGTATGGTAAACTGGCCTCGTGTCGATAAAAGAGCTTTTATAATTAAGCAGACACCCTGGGGCAACTGGTCATGAATGGTGAAACCTTTGACCACCAAAATAAGGTCTCCAGCTTTGAACTTTCGTAAAACTTGGCTGTGACGTACAATAGCTACATCAGAAGTAGAACCTGGGTACAGCATGGAGCAAAATGTAAGTGCACCATTTGGAAGCGCGCAAGTTACTGCTTTAAAAGTATGGCAACTTTTGTACATACTGTAGGCCATGGCCTGATTATCCATATGTGTTGGGATGTCCTGGATTGTTTCAATTGCATCCATGGATGCTCTAGCAGAGGAAAAATCCTCAAAAGATTTTGGCAGAGACCCTGAAAAAAAGTTGGAAAAAAATTAATTTGATTATTTGTAATTGTGTAAAAAAATTGTGTTACAGTCAATCTTTCAAGAATACAATAAATTTAACTGCATTAAATTTTTGCAAGTCATTATGATAAATTTTAAAACAAACCTTTGCATTTAAGCTGACTTGGAAAACATTCTACGCTACATTCTACACTACGCCATCAGACAGCATCTTGTATAGGGAAAAGACCACCAATTATTTTCCCATAGAACTCCATACAAACCTTAGGCCCTCTCAGTACTTTACTATGACAATTTCAGAAAAATCTTTAGCATCATTTCAAACTTTGTTCTAAGCCCTAACAAAAAATACTGAAAAAAATATATGGTCCCATGGCGTTTATAGGTCAAAATTGCAGTTATTTTCAACTTATAGAGATTCGCAGTAAATAACACGCGGCATAAAAAATCAACCCCCACTCCTAAAATCTTCCCTGGCATTTCTATAGTTTCTGTAATATTCCCTCATCCCATCATTTATTTCAAAGGTCATTAATTTTACTTTAAAATGAAAACAATTAAATACCTGATTTCAGCCAATGGCGTAACGCCTACCCATTCAGTATTCTGTTTAATGTTCCATAACAAACAAAGCCATGTGTGCATCCGGGGATTTGGTGCTCTCATTCCTATACTTACATACTTACCTGTCCCAGAATTAGTCAATTGTGGTAATTTCAAAGACTATACACCTACCTGTGAACATGTATGAAATTTGAGTCCTGTGACTTCAGTGTATTGGATACTGTGACCATCTCAAATGATGACACCTTACTGCTACCAGCACAATTCAAAGGAGTGAATGACGTCTGGGCCGGTGATGATATTTGGATATATTGGTGACTGTAATAAATAAAATATTTGTACAATGAATTGTTTTTGTGCTTTAATGTTAATAAAGTGATATTAAGTCAAAATTGAGTCAATAATTTCATAAGGGTGGATTCTACCCAGAATTAGGTAAAAAGCTCCAAAATTGGATAAATCATAGTTAATTAAGCAAAATTCAAAGGTTTTAAAAAGACTGATATAGAATTTTTTTATGCTTATGCAAAGTATATTATTTAAGACTCTGATATACTAATTGATTCTTATCTAATCCCTCCTATTGCTTAAGTATGTACAAAAAAGTTTCCCCACCCCCCAGTGAAAAACACTTAAAGAAATAGCAGGTGCCCCCTTTTATTTTTGTTTACAATTAATTTAGACAAGTTTAAATCAATTCTTTTGATAACAAATCAAAGTTCAATGTCTGTAGTCTTATACATTACAATCAGAAGCTACTTTTTGAATTTTATTCTAAGAAAAGGAGAATATAAATTTTTTTTTTTAAAAATTAAAGAAAAGCAAAAACTGACTTCAAACCCCAAAATGTACTATACAATAAGAGGCTGGAAAGTTAATAAATAAAAAATTTACCTGCAATGTACAGAAAACTGTCCGACAAAATACATCAGGTGGGTAGGGAGTCTCCATTTTCTTCTTATATAGAGAAAATGCCCCTGCTGATCAGATACCTAACACTCCCAAATAATAACAAAATATGTTAACATAACAGTCAATCTAAGATGTTCATCCCTCAATGGCAACAAGTTTTTATTACAGTAACTGAAATTGTTAGGAAATAGGAAATCACAATTGGAATTCCTTTAAATGTACCTTCTCTTCGTTGTATTTAATATCGTGGATTGATATTGGCTTCCTTTTACTAGACTCTATTTTTAGGGCAAGCAATTCCTTTTCCAGTTGTATTTCTGTTGAGAGGCGCTGCATTTCTTGAGTACAGTTAAATGTGCAGGATGCTGAGTAGTTGTGCTCTGATATCAACTGAAAATATATTGTAAATCATGTACAGTTAAAAGAACTTTATATATTATTAAAAATTATTGAAAATGTTTCAGTGTTGGTCATTTGTCATCATTGGTGATTTAAATGAGCTTTACTTTTTCTTGATATTGACATTTTGGTGCTTGTGGAATCTGCAACTGGTCCATCTTAAGATGACAGGGACTCCTCACTTTTGAGTTTTTTCCTCCTTTGTAAAATAATTAAACTTGAATTATTTTTTTATTCAGTTGTAAGCTACTCTGTTTATACATGTACCCTTTTAAAGATTTTTAGTAAAATATTCTCAATTAAACTCCACCCACCCACCATCCAAAAACAAGATGTCGGTCATATTTTGAAAAATAATTTCACCTTTTTGTAAATTCAGGATCAGAGAAATCCATGGCCTTTCCTTCATTCCATGCAAAATATGCAGGGTCCCCCTCCTTCTTACCATCCTTAAAGTGGCAGGAGCAGATGCGATCATTCTGATCTCCTGGTTGGCGATCAGCTCGTCTAAAAATATACATTATACAAAGACTGAGTGAAGGAGAATTAAAAAGCAAAACATGTTCATTTAGCATGTTATTATCAAATAGCCTAAATGACTTATTTTTTCATTATTTTTTTTTAAATGTTACATTTACTTGCAAGTACAAGATAACCATGTGCATAACATTAACAAACGGTAGCAGTATTTGGTAGTAATAATACGAAATAAAATGTAATAAAACAGCTGTTAAACAAAAATTAATCTTGCTACAAATTGCACAGTTTTTGTAGTATGTACTCTTCATTATTCTTCTGCTATATTGATTACTACGCGATTTAACTTTTTAGCATGCATGTATAAATACTGTATCTGACAATGCAGCATCGTGACATATCGTTACAAGTACCTACAAATTTTGTCAATATATCTACGTTTACTGAGTTTTTTCCCTAGCAGGCCGAAATATCTTCATCATGTCACCAGGAACAACACTCGTGCATCTCGTAATTAGTGCTGCAATAAACAAACTGATGTTTTTTTCTCACCTGCATGGTTTTCCCGACGCTTCAGCTACTTTCGTTATTTCTAACCAATGAAAATTGTCCTTACTTTTCTGTTGCGTCATGCAATTTTATTGCACGCATCACTGAATTGTAGAACACACATCACAAGATTTCGAATATACATCACAAGATTATCGAACATACATCACAAGATTTCGAATATACATCACAAGATTATAGAATATACATCACAAGATTTCGAATATACATCACAAGATTTCGAATATACATCACAAGATTTCGAACATAAATCACAAGATTATAGAATATACATCACAAGATTTCGAATATACATCACAAGATATTGAATATACATCACAAGATTTCGAACATACATCACAAGATATTGAATATACATCACAAGATTATAGAATATACATCACAAGATTTCGAACATACATCACAAGATTATAGAATATACATCACAAGTTTTAGAATATACATCACAAGATATTGAATATACATCACAAGATTTTGAACATACATCACAAGATTTTGAATATACATCACAAGATTTCGAACATACATCACAAGATTATGAATATACATCACAAGATTTTGAATATACATCACAAGATTTCGAACATACATCACAAGATTTTGAATATACATCACAAGATTTTGAATATACATCACAAGATTTCGAATATACATCACAAGATTTCGAACATACATCACAAGATTTTGAATATACATCTCAAGATTATCGAATATTGCAACGTTTGACATGCCATATGCCAGAACATGCTGGTTTGTTTAACCGTCCAAATTCCATCAATAAAAAGTGAGTTTCCAACTTTCCATGGGTATAGGTCTATTGAATTCAAGTGTTCCTAGTATAGAATGTATGTAGTTTTCAATTATCGCGGGTTTCATGTGCACCGAATACATATTTGAGACATATTATATGCATTTCAAATAATGAAGATATCAGTATTAGTACATGTAACTTACCAC